ATTCCATCTTCCCTAAACTTCTCACCTATGCTTTAGAGTTACTGTTGTCAGTTTTATCTCATATAGGTAATTCTTTTAAAAGGGCTATGCACAGTGTAAACATTCTTTACTAATTGAGCTAAACTGTTGTTTGGTTTAATGATTACTTGAGGGAATAGTTTTGGTTCAGGGTTTAAAGACTATCTCAAAGCATTAGATTCAGGGGTTCTTCCAGTCTCAGTGGGTCCAGTAAGTCTGGATTCCATAAGAATTTTTTTATTGTGTTTTCAGTGAAAGTTTACACAACAAATTAGGTTTCCACTTAACAATTTCTATACACATTGTTCAATGACATTTGTTACATTTTTTACAATGTGTCAACATTTTCATTATTTCCATTCTGGTTTTTCCATTTCCATTCATCTAGTTTCCCTGCCCTCCTTTACCTTCTCATTTTTGTTTTAGGGTAAATGTTGACCATTTGGTCTCATATAGATGGTTTTTTAAAGGAACACAGTTCTTATGGGTGATGTTGCTTATTTTATGTGCCAATGTATTATTTAGCTGATAAATTCTGCCTTAGTCATCTAGTGCTGCTGTAACAGAAATATCACAAGTGGATGGCTTTAACAAGAGAAATTATTTTTCTCACAGTCTATTAGGCTACAAGTCCAAATTCAGGGCATCAGCACCAGGAGAAGAGTTTCTTTCTCTGTTGGCTCTGGAGGAAGGTCCTTGTGATGCATCAGTCTTCCCTTGGTCTGGGAGCATCTCAGCACAGGAACTTCTGGTCCAAAGGACGCACTTTGCCCCCGGCACTGCTTTCTTGGTGATATGAGGTTCCCATGTCTCTCTGCTCGCTTCTCTCTTTTATATCTCAAAAGAGATTGACTTAAGACACTACCTAATCTTGTAGACCTCATCAATATAACTGCCGCTAATCCATCTTATTACATCATAGTGATAGCATTTACTACACATGGGGAAATCACATCAGATGATAAAATGGTAGACAATCATGCAGACAATAGTGGGAATTATGTTTTAGTCAAGTTGACAGATATTTCTGGGGGACACAATTCAATCCACGACAAATTCCATAAGAATTTTGAATTCTGTTCCATTTTTTCCTCCTTTTGATCAGGATCCATCTATTGAGAACCTGGTCAAAGTGTGAGGAACAACTCATAAATGAAGAAAGGACAAGGGTTGAGAGAATCTCTTGGTATAGACAAGATCTGTGAGCTGAGGGCCACGGTCAGGAAATTGTCAGCCAGGGCAGCCATGGAGACCTCTAAGATGCTGGGCAGTGCAATATCATTTTCTTTAAATGTTGTCTTGACCCAGTTTTGAGGCCTTGATTGAAGGCTAGTCCATTCTCCTTGAGCAGCTGATTAAGTTCACTCTCCAACCACTCCCCTTATCAAGTTCTCACTCCTGGGCCACTATACACCCTTGTCCCAGGGCCAGGTACCCAGCAATGAGGGACACCCCTATGCCTCCTGAGTCTGCAGAATTATTCAAAATGCCCAATCCCCAGGAAGCTCATGACACCTAGCTAATGCCCCCTGCTTGCCATACATAAACCCTCTCCTACAATTCCAGCTTGTTGCTGCCTTGTCTCTAGTGCAAATTCCTGTGTGGTCCTGCATCACAGCGTGCTGTGTCCCCCGTCTCTGGGAGCGGTGAGTATAATAAACTTGTTACTTTTCATGGCTCCCCTGACTCCTCTTCCTGGCATCACGCCTGATTTACCATCCCATGAATTTGTTGGAGCAGGCAGGCAGAGGACTGTGGGCAAAGCCAAGACAGGACTGGGCACCTACTGCTGTCTGTATCCTTCTGGGATCAAGCCATGCGTCCATCTCTTTAGAGGTAACTCTGGACCCTGAGGTGGGGGATCACCAGAGGGGACGTTTCTAGTGGAGTTGTGTCATGCTGTAAGATGCACATTCTGAGGTTTCTTGGGTCACACAGGGGTTTAGGGTGTACAAGAATAGCTCAGTTGCTCACTTGTTGGGGCTAGTTGTGTGGAAATGTTTTCCACAGTGAGAGATGAGATGCTAGTGTTAGATCGGTAGGTACATGTACAGATGGACAGATTAATGGTTCCTCCCACAGAGCAGAATTTCTGGTGCTCTGATACAGCAGTTCTGACCACATAAGGTGATGTCACAGCATCCTGGCAGCACAAGAAACATTTAAGCCACACTCCGGTAAGAAGGACCATGACATCACCTTGCTCAGGGGAAATGATAACCAGTGAGAGGGAAGCCATTGTATTGGTTTCCATTACAAAGCACCACAAACTGGGTGGTTTAAAACATCAGAAATTTATTGTCTTATAGTTCTAGAGACTAGAAGTTCAAGATCAAAGTGTCAGCAGTGTTGGTTCTGAGGGAGAATCTGTTCTATGCCTCGCTCCTAGCTTCTGGGGACTCCTGGTAATTCTTGGCTTTCCATGGCTTGCAGCCGCATGAGTCCGATCTCTGCCTCTGTTGTCACATGGTCGTCTTCCCTCTGTGTGTCTTTCCTTCTTTTATAAGGACACCACTAATTGGATTAGGATTAGGACCCATGCTACTTCAGTATGACTGCATGTTAACTGGCAACATCTACAAAAACCTTATTTCCAAACCAGGTCACATTCACAGGTACCAGGGATTAGGACTTCAACATATCTTTTTGGGGGACACAATTCAATCCATAACAGTTACCAAGAGGCCAAGTTTAGGTGATTCCTTCTATCAAGAGAAGATCTACCTATGAACTGCACCATCACATTTTCTCTCCCACAGAGCAGAAGTTTCTCATTTTTTTCACAAGTGTTTAGATTGAACAGATGTAACATATATGATTGTAACACAGAGTCCTGAGTAGCCCAAGCCATGTTTAACCCGGACCTCAGTGGACAGAATACAACTGGGGAAGCCTGGGCTATGGGCATGACAAGAGCAGCAAGGTCAGCCTTTCAATCACTGTTTCATTCATCAAATATTCACAAGCCCCTACAACATGCCATCACTGGGCTTGATTTTGGGTAATAGACATGAAAACGCATCAAATAATGGGGTGTCTATATAGATTAGGTGGAAATCCTGGGGGTGTAGTGGTTAAGAGCTATGGCTGCTAACCAAAAGACCGACAGTTCGAATCGACCAAGTTCTCCTTGGAGACTGTATAGGGCAGTTCTACTCTGTCCTATAGGGCTGCTATGAGTCAGAATCGACTTGTTGGCAATGAGTCAATGGGTTATATAGATTAGGAGACTTAAATGTTTTTATTTTTTGACCCAGGATATCCACAGCTAGGAAAATATCCTATGGAAATAACCCCATTTATGGAGAAAGTTTTGTGCATATAGATGTTTGGTACAGTTTATTCATCACAATTAAAAATTGGAATCAATCCAAATGTACTACAACAGTACATGATAATAGTAATGCATTAGGGGGACCGTTGAGTAAATTAGGTAGCTCTTACAAACACTAGGATGACTGAGAAAAGTCTTACAATGTTATGTATAAAGGAAAAAAAATACAAAATCACATTTATTTTATGACTACAATAGTATCCCCACTCACACACACAGTAAAAAGAAGGAAAAAAGCAAGTAAGCAAACAAACAGAACTCTCATAAGCCTAGAAAAAAGTGCACTTGAAAGAAATAAACCAAAAGGTTAATAGTGGTTATGTCTGGGTGTTAGAATTTTTTCTACCTTCAAGGAAAGAAATTGTACTCAGTTTATGCCTCGGAATCCATATATGCCACAATAAGATGGTAAGCATGTAGAGGAAAACCCCACAAAGCCTTACTTGCATTTGTCCTGCTGCCTTTCCAGCTTCCACATACTAAACCGGTTTTTGTTCTTTCCTGTATTTTACACGTCTTTAAAATTAGCTGTTACTATTTTGGGGGGCAATCTACAGCACATATTAGAAATCATGTAAAAACAATTTGAATTAAAAACACCAATAACATTACTCTTTCTCTCCTCTCTCCCTGGCTTGGGATTAGACCCTGTGAAAATGTTATGCCTGAGCTGCAGCAGCCATCTTATTACCACAAGGTGAAGAGCACAAAGAAGAAAAGTCAACAAAATGATGGGAGCAGAGGAAATAGTTTGAGAAGCCCAAGTCCTTGACGACATCGTCGAGCTGCCAGACAAACCCTGGGAATGCCCGTCTCTGGACCTGACGATAAGAAAACAGTAAGTGTTCCAACTGTTAACTCTGAATCTCTAGGGAAATGGGATTTTTGAGGAAAGAGGACTTCATTTTTTAGTTTCTTTACTAGTCCAGTTTTAAAGGGCTAATTATTACTATAAGAGGTGAACATACCATCATTTATTTAATTGTAGTTCATCTTTTAATTGTTATAAATAAGCTGTGACGAATACTTTTGTGCATTCCACTTTCTTCACACATGTGTTTCTATATATATATATATAGGTCATATCTCTGGCAGAATGCCTTGCTAGTTGAAGGGTAAGAATATTTTAAGACTCTTCATTCATGGTATCCCCCATTTTTAGATTCCTCACCTGGGCTAACTCAGGGACTCAACGAATGTGTGAGGAATGAGCCAATGTCTGAAAGCCGGACCTCTATCTCACTTTCCTGGTAGTCGAGGCTCCCGCAATTCTACTCACTTCATCTGGATTGTGGTTTTACCTTGGGTTGTACTTCTCAAAACTCCAGGGCATTATCACCAATGTCTCATCTATGTCATTGGAACACTGGGGATGATATGAGAAGGTTCAGTTCTGTGGGAGAAATACTTTATTGACAGGTCTGTTCTTGTGAGAAGGAATCAGCTAAGCGGTCTCAGGGTGACACAAACATCTCACCTCCTCTCACTGTGGAAACCATTTCCCCATCAAGTGAGCAACCAACCTATTCTTGCAAAGAGTCTGAACCCGTGTAGTGACTCAAAGTTTTCCTGGTATATGCAACTCAGCATGACACCAACACCATGTTTTAAATTTTCCTCTCTGGTCTCCCCAAGTTTCCATCTCCTAATGCCCCAAGGGTGCCTATAAAGAGAAGAGGTGGCTTAGACCCCCAGAAGGAGCCAACAGTTTCAAGCCTCCAGGTCCTAACTCTACTTAGCCACCGGTGAGCTCCACTCTACCTGCCCAGCATCATAGAGATCCCAGGGGCTTCCCTCACCATCCTGCTCCTCGCTGCAGCCCTCTGCTCCCGGACATCCTCTGCCTCATGTGAGCCTGTCCTCCTGTCTGCCTTCCTTTTGCTCTTGTCTGCCACTCTTTGACGGTGCCTTGGACGCAGTGCCAAAGTCTGTGGCTTGAGGCCCTCCAAGTAGAAACTTCACAGGAATTTCAGAGACTTTCCTGAGCAAAATTTTTCTTCTCAAGGAGTTTTATTTTAGCAATCCTATTTTCCAGTTCTGGGAGGCAAGGTGGGGATATGTCCCATTTTATGGATGGGAAAATGGAGGCCCAACCGAGAGTTTGACAAGATGTGGAATCTGGGTCCGACTGGCTCCCAGTGATGTGATCAATGACAGACTCACTTTGGCTTTCCTTATGAATTTCAGATAAAACTCCCCAAAGAGAAATAGAACAAGTAAGTTCTTCAGAAAATAAATTTCCTGTAGAGAGAGACATAGAGATCCAAAACCAAGATAGGCAGAGAATGAGAAACACTAAAAGAGAGAAAGACATAGAAATAAAAATGTCAAGGAAGAGAAGAAATGCCAACTGCCTTCTGGATCCCTTTGTCTCCACATCCCCACCTTTGAGCAATTCTTGCTGACCCTCAAATGAAGGGACCAGGAGCAGCTGCCTTGCCTTTTCTTCTGAACAATGACTTGGGATCTTTCAGTCCTATTTCTCACAGTGACTCAGGCTCATTCTGTCCCTTCCTCCACAGTTGGTGCCGACACCCCTACTGCCTGCTGCTTCTCCTATACCTTCCGGCAGATTCAGCGCAATTTTGTGAACGACTATTATGAGACCAGCAGCCAGTGCTCCAAGCCTGCTGTCATGTAAGGGCCAGTCCTCCTGCTATTCCTGGGAAGAGACAGGGAGGGTTCAGGGTAGGGAGCAACTCTTTGAGGTCCATCACGGTGCAGGACATCAAGGGGAGGCCCCTGCATTGTTTTCTGACCTGGTCTGGGTCCTACAGAGAGTCCTGGAGGAACTCCTCCTGGGTAGAGGTAAGAAAGGAGGGAAAATGACAGCAGGAGGTAGGCTTTCTGAGGGGACCCTGATATGAGACACTCAGGGAAGGCCTGAGAATCCTGAGGAGAAATTTTATGAACATGTAACAGGCCCTGAGATGTCTGGGTCAGAGAAGGATGGAGGAGCCACGGTGGCCCAGGATTCCTCAGTATTTAATCCTTTCCCCCCTCTCCACAGCTTCCTAACCAAAAGGGGCCGGCAGATCTCTGCCAACCCCAGTGATGCCTGGGTTCAGGAATACATCACCGACCTGGAGCTGAATGCCTGAGTGGAAGCAAGGACGGCGTTAAGAGGAAGCTGTTACATCTGAGGACAGATTGGAAAGCAGACCTCTGAGCGAGGACAGTGACCCTGCAACCCCGGAAGCTACCTCACCTATGGGTTGCCACCCCCTAGGCCACACTCTAGGACCCTCCTTAACTTTTAGTTTGTGTATTTTATTTAATATTTGCAATTTATTTCCACTGTTGAATTGTGTTATGTAATAAATGTTTTCTTTGACATCCTCTGCGTTCCCCTTCAATCTTCTCATATTCCATATGGGGGCCAATGAGTGTGATTAGCTTTCTCTTGGCAGAAATTTACCAAATAATATAAAACACCAAATACTTATTGAATGATTCTTCCCAGCACTGTGTTTTGACATATTGAAGGCACTGATATAAAAGGTAAACTAACATTTTCCTGGTGATGATACTATTGATTTTGTATTCCCAACTAATCAGAACCATGGGCTGAGAGGAATACTGGGGGAAGAGCGGGGAAAAATGAAGAAGGACAGAAACCAGAGGAAAAGGATTGAGTACAACTATCAAAATTGACTTGAGTGCAACAGGTGTGGTTTGGTTTTATACTGGTATCAAACGTTTCCTTGGAGATACTTTCCTGGAAAGTTGAAACTGACACTTTATTTTATAAACAAATCATAATTGATGTGCTGTAGGAAAAACTTCTACTTGACTGAATACCAAGATGAAGCATACTGTGGTGTCTATTTACGAGCGTAAGTTCATTTTCATAAATCAAGCTTTCCTCAGATTGACGGCTAACATTTGTTGAGGACTTACAAGGCGCTGGGTTCAGTGTCAAGTGCTTATATTAGTTAAGGTTGAGCTAATATAAGCCATGGTCTAGCAAGGATGCTCTACCTGGCAGTTGACTGTGAACGTTGGTCAACTTCCCTGTTGTTCTGAACTCTGTTTTCTGGGAGAATGTTTTCCATGGCTGTATCTGAGGTGAAGCTTGGGGACTAGGGTACCCATAGTTAGCAAATGAAAATACAGGATTGATTTTCTAGTATAAATGTGTCACATAAAATATTTGGGACGTACTTACACAAGAAATTGTACACTGTTTTATTTGAAATTCATATTTGATGGGGTATCCTGTATTTTATCTGGTAACCCTTTGTGGGAGAAATATCTGTTATAAAGGCTGTATATTTCTTGCTGGGGATGCATGGATGGATTGGCTTAAATGGACAGAAATGCTTTTCAACCTTGAATTCACATTAGAATCACTCAGGGAGCTTTTAAAAGCTCCAGTGTCAGGACTTCACCTCTGAAGTTACTAATTTAATTGGACTTAGGCAGGAGCCTTGGTGGTGCAGTGGTTAAGAGCTTGACTGCTAACCAAAAGGTTGGCAGTTTGAATCCACCAGCTGTTCCTTGGAAACCTATGGGGCAGTTCTACTTTGTCCTATAGGGCTGCTATGAGTCAGAATCAACTCGACGGCAACGGGTTGTTTTGGTTAGGCAGTAGCTGGGCATTAGTAATTTTAAAACTCCCCAGGTGATATTAATGTGCAGCCAAGTTTGAGAATCACTGCTGAGGTTCAGTCCTATGCTGCTTTGGCCAGCCTTGGGGTTTCATAAGCAATACAACTTCCTTGTTTTGAAGGCCTCGAATATATTTTCTTATGGTCACTTACACTGGATGGTATATCAGGTCAGGATTCTGATACACCCAATGTATGTATTAGTTATATATATGTGTGTGTACATATTGGTTTTACACACACACACACATATGTGAATGATATGTTTTACATATCTACATGTGGAGATACACATATACATACATATATACATATGGAGCACTGGTGGCACAGTGGTTAAGAGCTATGGCTGCTAACCAAAAGGTCGACAGTTTGAATCCACCATTCGCTTCTTGGAAAGCCTATGGGGCAGTTCTGTTACGTCCTATATATATATATGTATATATATATACGTGTGTGTGTGTGTCTGTGTGCGTGCAATAAAGATTTATTGTAAGGAATTGGTTCATGTGATTTTGGGGGCTGGCAAATCTGAAATCCATAGGACAGTCTGACAGGCTGGAAACTCAGGCAGGAATTGATGCTGCAGTCTTGAGGCAGAATTTCTTCTTCTCTGGCAAACCTGAGTTTTTGCTCTTAAGGCCTTCCAACTGATTGGATGAGGCCCATCCACATTATCAAGGGTAACTTCCTTTACTCAAAGTCAATTGATTGTAGATGTTAACCACATCTATAGGATACCTTCACAGCAACACCTAGATTAGTGTTTGACTAAATAGCTGGCCTAGCCAAGTCGACACATAAAACTAACCATTACAGGTGGTTAAGCAGGAACAGAAAAACTGTCAAATCACAGTGTTGCTTCAAGAACTGGGTTGGGAACATGGGTCTACCAGGACAGTGAGCTGTGGTCATTCCCTTCCCCACCTCACCCCTCTGCCATTTTAGTGACTTCTAGCTCCACATCGCCCTCTGCTGGTGAAACAATGCCTCAGATGTGGAAGTTATGATTAGCTCCCTGCCTCAGACTGCATCCCAGCTGCTCCTTCACGAGAAACAGATGGTTCAGTTTGTCAACAAGATAAATATTTAGTAGGAGGAGCCTGAGGAGGGGGGTGGTTCTGGCTGCTTCTGGGCCCCACTTTTATGGCCTGCCTAGTCTTCCACCTTCCCATTTCTGCTTGCACCATTTTAGACTGTAGTGAAGAATTCTGCTTTTCCAACCCTGCAAGCTTCAGATTAGTGGATTCTTAAATGGCTTCGTTTGCAGGCAGCAAGCAGAAAGGACCCCTATTAAGAAAACTTTCTTATTTTTATTTTTCTTCTCTGCTATCTGACAAGCCAGTTTCAATGGACCTTACTGAATGATGCAATCTCCAACTTCCTGAGTTTTCCTTTTTGATGCAGCCTTGGTATGCAGATGGCCTTAGTAAAAATTTATAACAGGCCATGAGGGTAACCAGTTGTGCTAGATACAGGTGTCCTCACTGACTTTGACCTTAGCTTGTGCTCTCAGCCAATTCTATTTCTGGGGGCCTGTTATTTGCAAAAGGAGCCCTGGTGGTCCAGTGGTTAAAGCACCCAGCTGCTTACGGAAAGATTGGCAGTTTGAATCCACCAGCCACTCCGCAGGAGAAAAAGCCTGGCGATTGCTCTGCTTTTGTAAAAACTACAGCCTAGGGAACCCTATGGGGCAGTTCTACCCTGTCCTATAGAGTTGATAGAAGTCGAACTCTACTTGATGGCAACAGGTTTAATGGGCTACTTGCAAAACTGCAGTCTGTATCAATTAGCTATGTTTTTAGTTATAAGTATCAGAAAAGCTGACTCATTCTGGCTTAAATGATAAAGGGAACTTATTAGCTAACATAACTGAAGCTTCAAGAGGTAGAATTAGCTTCAGGCAAAACTTGACCCTGTGGTCCTTATGTCTTACCATAAACTGTGTTCCTTTCGGACTTTCTGATCTCCCTCCAATTTGAAAGCTTTATCCATGACTAGTTACTTTAATGATAAGATAGCTTCCAGAAACTTCCAGCACAATGTGAATCCTTATTTATTTCCACTAGGGAAGAGAAAGTCTGTATCTCCGTATCTGGAGTGAAGAGCTTCAGGTCCACTTTCATAGGTGCATCTTAGGTTGGGAGTCCACCTCTTGACCTAGGGCTCAGCCAGCTATGGCCTGTGTGCCAAATTTGACCCACTGTCTATTTTTGTATGGCCCACAAGCTAAGAATTTTTTAATGATTGAAAAAAATCAAAAGAAGAATATTTTGAAACACATGAAAATTGTATGAAATTCAAGTTTTAGTGTCCATAAAAACAGTTTTATTGGAAGATGGCCAGGCTCGTTGGTTTTTGCATTGCTATGGCTGTTTTTGGAGCCCTGGTGGTGCAGTGGTTAAGAGCTCGGCTGCTAACCAAAAGGCTGGCATTTCGAATCCACCAGCTGCTCCTTGGAAACCCTGTGGGGCAGTTCTGCTCTGTCCTATAGGGTCGCTGTGAGTCGGAATCGACTCCATGACAGTGGGTTTATGGCTGTTTTCACACTACAACAGCAAGGTTGAGTGAGTAGTTGTGACAATGACTGTATGACCAACAAAACTTAAAGTGTTGCTGTTTGGCCCTTTACAGAACCTCTCTTAGTTATTGTGTCTAGGGGAATGGATTCACTGATTCATTTGAGTCAATCAATATTTATAACAAGTGTCATTGATGGGCTCAGAACCACACCAACTACAAACCCATTGTCATCGAGTCCATTCCGACTCATGGCGACCCTATAGGACAGAGTAGAACTGCCCCATAGGGTTTCCAAGGCTGTAAGTCTTTACGGAAGCAGACTTACAAACTACAAGACGGGGTAATTTTCCAAATGATCGTTTCAAAGTTTCTTTAACTGGGAAAGAAAAAGAATAGATGTTGATGACCAAACAAGTATTTATCAAATGTGTATGACTTTCTTATATTAATTTTTCTTTATTTGTGAAGAATATTTGTTTGTGGTTTATATTACACCATATATATATCTTTTCCCCCAAATTTGGGAAACCATCTGGACTTCCCTCTTATGTGCCAGTATCTTGGAGATTTCCGTCTGTACTAAACCTTCCAGAATTACATTATTGATTTGTAAAGAATTTTGATTCGGTTATGTCCTGTTGTCCCACAGATGATGGCTACTTCCCCAATCTGAGGCTAAATTACCAGTAAGGACTTTACATTTTTAACTAAGTCACCGACAACTGGGGCCAGATAATCCTTTCAAGGCATTCTACATAAAGAAAGGGGAAGGAGAGGGAATTGTCAGCATTGCAAATGCCTAGCGCAGTGGCTTCCACCTTTGTGGGGGAAAGGTCATTACTTCTCATCTTCTTTAAGCCCAGTCAAGGGGTTTCAAGAGGGGAACTTATAAAAACTGAAAGTTTCTTCTAGCAAAGTGACTCATTTTCCAATTGGATATCTGTTTTTGCAGTGAACTTGTTGCTTTGCCTGAGTCAATTTGAGCAGGGAAAAAGAAAACAGGAGATAAGAGGCAGGGTGTATCTGGGTGGTG